GACAGAGATTTTCAGATGTGCATTAATGTGTCAGAAGGAGATTATAAGTGCGAGAGAATATCGTGTGACCCGCGTGTTCAACAATGTTTTCCACCTTTTCTGCAAGTTTAAGGTCAAGGTTCTGTCATTCTCTGTTTTTCGCTCAATTTTGAGTTTTTAAGTTTGGTTGTAATTGTGATGATTTATTGAAAGAACGAGAACTAAATTGACAATAGGTCATCTTTTATCCATTGACCAAAATTTCACTAGACTCGATCAATTGATTGGCAATAGACAGCGGGCATCATCTGATCATAAAGCGGGAAAAAATGATTTGGGTTAGATAGTTTTTGATATAAATGGCCAATTAAAAGAACGGGAAAAATAAACACCCGTTCCTATTGTTACTGCCATTGTCATTATTAATACTGAGAATTTTTTTCTGCCGTTTTGTATACATTACTGTATCCAAATAAAAGAGTTGTAATCTACATAAAATAACTAATAAAATAAGGATAATGAGAAAACCCTGCATCTGTTTTTTTGCGTCAATCGGCCCTTTAACTTTAGTCTCTTGGTGACACTTTTCTTTATTTTGGTGAAACTTTCTTTTTTTTTTGGAAACTTGGCAAAATGCATAAATATGTATTAATTATAAAGAAAGATGGCCCGATGAAATAAATATCATTCATTGCAAACAAATATACATCCCACAAATATCGATATGCAAACAAAAATCATTAATGTTCCATGTCGTGATAAATTACCCTGACAACAATAGGAATAATAACGTGTTGAGAAGGAAGTTACACAGAAAAATATGGAGTTTTTTTCGTCATCCACTTCATTTCCCCACCCAAAACAAAAATTTAATTTTACTGTTATATTTATTGTACAATTACAAACGGTTTCGGCATTACTCTCTTTTCCACTCTGTCTATATATCCTGCAAGTGCATCCCACATATACACACACACACACACAAACACACACAAACACACACACACATTTTAACCACTAGGCAGAAAAGAATATTTGACTTTTGTTCAACTTTACACTACACTCTAATCAAGTGAACCAATTATTTTGATTCCTTTCATTCTAATTTTGGAGAATTCATTGTTTTGCAAATCTTTTTTGAAAGACAGGCTGAACATAATAGAAAGAGGACAGTGCAGGAGAAAAAAAATTTCCAGTTTTTTAACAAATTAGTAATAACGATTATCAATGACTCGTTTCTTCTGTGTTCATCATGATTGGTGGGATATATAGCTTAAAATTGTAGTTATATGACTCAAAAAATTTGCTGGGAGAATGAAACATTTATGATTAGATAATAACTGCTGAATGACCCAAGTTATTAGAAAATTCATTAATCCCATTAATTAATCTTTCCCGTGTTCTCCGCGGCGCCCAAAAATTTTTTTCCGGAATTCATGACTGACCACCACCACTCACCTACCAGATGCATACATGCATCGCATCTACATACATAAACATCATCCACCCGTAAATTACATGCATTACATGCATACATGCATACATATCTCGATAAAAGAAAAAAGACATCGCTCTGTTTTTTAATTTGTTCAATTTCGCGTGTATCAATTTTGTGATTGTGTCCCTGGATTGGGAAGGGACGGGGTAGGAGTATTTATTTCATATATTATGTTATTTAATCTGCGAATGGTTACCTCAATCAACAATTTTGTGATTATTGGATAGTGAATCAATAAATTAATTTAAGTAATTAATTAAATTAAATTAGAATTAGATTATATAAAGCAGACGCATCACGCATCACATTGAGGCGGCTGTGCGCTATTCAGTTTACTATTGTAAGGGAAGACAAAATACTTGATGCATGTGTATTTGTTTTTTGGTGATAAAAATTCATCATCGTCGTTGTTTTGAGGTTTTTTAGCACTAGAGGAACCTTCAAATATTAAAATTTAATTTAATACATGTACGAAGATCGTATGAAATACAGATTAAATTCCTGATTTCCTTTTTTTCATTCAGATTTACGTGTGAATTTTCCTTGAAGAAAACACTAATCGAATAATCGACCAAAACTACCGTCATCTACCCCTTCCACCATCTTACCTATTTTGTAATTCATTTGATCGTGTTCATTCACCATTGAAAATCTTCCCCCTTAAAAAATACAATCTCTAAATCATGTGTACAAAACGCACTTCAATTTCAAGTTAATGGATTATATAATAATAGAATATTAGTGGACAAAGGACCTGTTGTGAGCAACAATGGAGTTTTATTTATTTTTCCTAAATTAAATCTTGTGAATGAAGGAATGAAAGTGAAATAAATAATCAATATATTCGGGAAAAATGCAAAGTTAATTTTTTTTACGGCAGTGTGGTTGTTATTCGCTTCTTCTTGAATAACATTTTTTTTTGTTTTTTGTGGTAAATACTTCACCTTATATTGTTTTTGTGTTTTTTGCTTCTTTTATGATTATTATTATTATGAGCGTTCTTGTCCGATATACGTATGTTTTTGTTTGTTAGATGAATGAATGACTTTTGGTGGAGCGAGCAAAGGTAAAAATTTCCTCAAAACTAGGAAAAAAAATATACAAATTAATCCGCCCTTCATCCAATGTTTCAAAATAAACATCCCATGTATTTCCCTTTTTCCGTGCACACTCACCAAGTGCAGATGACAGATTATTTATCATTCATTATATGTAACACTCGCAAAAAAACATTTATACACCAGTCGTATGGTAACAAATTGATTGCCGACTAGATAGACGGGCACACACAAAACTTCACCTTTTTTCTCTTTTAAATTTCTATTCCTATCCCGTTGCTTGCCTTATCGTCGTTTGCTTATCTTTATCTTACTTTGAGTATACCTCTTTTGACCATCGTCGTCTCTTATTTCTACATTTTTTATTGTCATGTTCGCCCGCACCGCACCATTCCGCCTTCTTATGTATCAATCATCATCATTTAGTATAATTCTTGTCCAATCCTTTGTGCACACAGACTAACCAAAATAGTAAAGGATACAACAAAATAAAAACACAAAAAATAAACTTGTTTGCAACAAGTTTGACTTTTACTTTGATGATTAATAGAAAGAGTCTGAAACGGGAAGAGGACAAGAAAAGTGAGACGAGTAGAGCACAAACAAATCACACATACAATACATCTTCCCCATTCGTACGTATAATAGGATATGGCATCATCAACATCATCGTCGTCGTCGTCGTCGTTCTCCATCTTCCGGATCCTCTCTCTCTTTTCCACCTCAAAGGTATTCTAGAAGAATTTATATACTGTGTTACATCACTCTCCTACTAACGTATAATCGCAAATTTATCAAATGTGCATTTTTTGTGATTTTGTGATTTTGTGTCACATTAAACTTCTGTTATACTCCTTCCATTAAAAGTTCGTTCTCTCTTTCGCTCGCTATTTTTTTTTCATTTGTGACACGATCACAAGAAGAATTAGCAACATGAAAAAAATACTAAGTAAATTTATCCATTATTATTAATTTATCGTAACACTTGACTAACTATTATTTACCTAGAGTCTAAATACCTATAAGTGGTTAGTTAACTATATTAAAATAAGAAAGTAATTAAACACCATATTAACATAATAAAATTATTTTGATGCTTGGTTTGATATGTTATTAATATTTCAAATACATAAAAATATATATAAATATATATATATATATATATAAAAACAACAAAATCAGCTACTTTGCCAAAAAACCTAACATCCTTCGTCGACTATAGAGATACATATTTATATGTGTGTGTGCGAGTATATATACATATATCTATCTAGATATCTAATGTACATACACATATACATATAATATACATACATAAAAATAAACTAGCAATCAAATATCTAATGAAAACTTCCTAATCGTAACAAATCATTCCAAAAAAAAATAAATCATACATTTAGAATTTTTAACATTAAAAGCTCACCAACCAGAACCAACCGCCGATTAAATAACCAGTACTATTAAAGCTAACCAGTAATAAACAAACAAACAAATAGAATAAAATAAAATAAACGAAGCACAAATAACCAAAAAACATATAAATCATTTTATTTTCCCTAAAAAATCAACATTTATCTTTTTGAAAAGAAAAAAAAAGAAACGATTCTTTTCAAAAATAAAAATAAAACCATAAAATAATAAAATAATCAAAAATAATAAAATAATACTCAAAAAATAAACGCCACGCCACGTTATAAATATTAGAATCCTAGCGAGTCAAACTGGCTAGCTTTAAAACAGCAAAGACAACATCTACCTCTTTTTAAAGATCCGTTAACGCGAACCATATCACACACTCGCACATAAAATAAATAATATATAAATAACAGATAAACTATAAACTTTATAAACTTTTACAACTCACAATTAAGATTTAAATAGCATATTATAATACATACATACATACATACACACATACATATATATATACATATACATGTATATATATATATATATATATATATATATATTTATATATTATAAACAAAATATATACATGCATACATAAATAAATAAAATATATATATATATAAAATATATACGTGATAAAATATTCTTCTTAAAATAAGAAAGTTTGCGTCAAGGTAAGTTTAGTTGTCAATTAGTTTAGCTAATTTTTTATTATTATTATTTTTAAGTAACGTTATCGAAACTTTCTTTCTTTTAATGAAGATTCCATATTGGTATTATATATAGCCATATCGGTGTTCAATAAATTTCATGTGCCATAATTTCTAGCACGGAAACAACTGCTTTTTTACGTCTTTCATTTTTTTTTGTTTTTTCGAGAAGCAAAAAAAAAAAAATAACCAACAATCGAACGATTTACCAAGCGCAGAAAATTCGCGACTACGATTAACGAAAATTCAATTTTCTGGTTTGATAAAATTTTATTCACGAGATATAATATTTACGATTACGACGACAAATTAGTTAACGATAATCAATCATATCACAAGTAAAAAATGAGTAATATTGAAGTGACATTTAACGGATTTATTGAGACTACTCAAGATACTTTGCTCATATTCGAAGCATGTCGACGAGGAATATTGCCCAGAGTGAGTAGAAGGCTCCAGGAGAAAGAACGAAAGATAGTGACATCTGGAAGCGTGTTCGTATTTGATGAGCGAGAATCAGGGATCAAGCGTTGGACAGATGGTCTTGTGTGGAGTCCTTCTCGAATTCTAGGGAATTTCTTGATTTATCGTGAATTGGATAAAAGATCAGCTAGTGGTAGCAGAAAAGATTCAACATCTTCATCGTCTTCACCATCCTCTTCGTCGCCATTGTCAATCGAAAGACAACGATCAGAATCTGATTCAGGCGATAATCTTCATCATCATATCAGTGCCGCTAACACAAGCATAGATAAGAATCGAGAACGAGCGTTAGTCGGAAGTCTAACAAATTCTTATCGATTTAAGAAGAATGGATTAATCAAAAAAACAATGTCAATCGTAGTGAATGGTGTCAGTCAACACATGATCAGTTATTATAATAAAGAGGATGTGTTGCGCTGCGCGTTGAAAACTCCATCGCAGGATCCTCAATTAGCTGCACTTGAAATATCGCAGGAATTTTTATCTAAGCAAAATTTCAGAATATATCCAATGATTGAAGGAGGATATGAGCAGCAACAGTTACTACACCAAGAAGAACAAATTTCAACCTCCATCATGCCACGTGGAAGTATTTCATCGTTAAGTCATACCAATAGCAACAGTAACAACAACAACAGCAGCAACAACAACAGCAACAACAACAGCAACAACAATAGTAATAATAACAATTCTTCGTTATGCCCATGTTCAACCATTAATAATAGCAACTCTTACGCTATTATTAAAAATGGCGGAAATAATAATACTAATAATACTAGTATTATCAATAATACCAATAATAAAAAAATTAATAATGGTAATTTTAGTCCGCCAATTAGCAATCGATTGCCATATACAATAGAATATCATTCTAACGCAAATCGTATAAAAACGGAGATGGAATTTAATGGGAATAACAATGAGATGAATGGATATCGTGGAGGATCAAATAATTCATCAAGTTATTATGCTCCCCCTCAACATCATCATCAACATAGTAATAACAACCATGTTGGCAATAATAATAACAACAACAACAACAATAGTAGTTATAGTAATAACCATAATACCTTGCCATTTCCATCACCAAATTTCCGAGGATATTCACAGCCTCAGCCGCAACCTCAACAACCATTACAACAGTATCGACAATCAACTTATCCTCCGCCCGTTTCTTCGAATGAATTTCCGCCAGTCACTTACACATCACGCATGTTGACCTCATCTCCGCCTCCAATGATATCAACAGCGAATTCTCACCCTCAGCATCAACACCATTCTCATCAATTAAGCAGTTCTTCTCCAGATTACAGTAATATTAATAACAATAATAGTAATAGCAATAATTCATATTATCCCTCGACAAATGAGTACAATCAATTCTCATTCTCTCCCTCAACAACCACAACGACGACAGCCACAATCGCAATGAATAATGTACATCCAATGAGTCCGCCACAATCTGAAAACCAAGATAATCTTTATTATGAAAGTAATCCTTATAATGATTTAACATCACCGGATTTATATAATTCATCGACTTCAAATCATCATCATCATCCACCACCGGCACTTAGCAGTTCCAGTCCATCACCTACTATGCCACCATCATCACCCCAAAACTCTTATGGTTCAAATAATGTACCAATCACACCACCGCTAACCGCAGCAACACCGTATATAAATGGCGGAGTGGCTAGCGGTACCGGAGCATTAAATAATAATATGTTCAATTCCCCAATAACTTATACATCACTAGTAAAAAGTGAAGGATACACGTCTAATAATTCAGCACTTGATTACTATTTTTAATTCTCATACGGGTACATTATTGTCGGTTATTCTGTAATATAGTTTTCTCGGTATACATATCTTATATTTTCTTGGTGTAAAAAGGCTGGCTATCCTTTTCGAATATCGAAATCCATATTAAGCACGATTGGTCATTTCTTTTTCGAGCCTTCGCAAATGAAAGGTGACAGACACAAAAACATTATTCATTTCATACTCCTGGTTTTTATTTATCCCATTTCCATTTTTTTCCCATCCCTTCTTCTATATGATCTTTGAATGGATTCTTCATGTAATATTTTGTATAGTTTCATTTTTTGTAATTTAATATATTCTTTAAAGTTGAGCTGTTTGAAAAAGTTTCTTTTTCTATATGTCACGTGCATTTTCATAGCAATATGAAAATAATGAGAAAGAAACAAAAAAAAAAAGAAAAAAAGCATAACGATTTCTATGATCTTCTATGAACCTTTTTTTTTCAAGTTTAATCAAGTCGATTTATTTCCTATTGATAATGTTTTATTGTTGCGAAAATTTAAATTTGTTTTCTTTCTGTAAATATGCACATATCATAAAAATATACATATATACAAAAAACTTCTCAACTTTTCTTAACATCACTC